ACTTGTTAAGCACTTTCTGTGTCCCAGGCACTGTTTCAGGTGCTAGAGACAGGAACAAAACAGACAAGAGTTTCTGTCCTGAAGCGGGAGGGCATAGCTCAGAGGTAGGGCACATGCCTAGCATGCACGAGGTTCTGGGTTCAGTCCCCAGTATCACCTTTAAAAAAACAAAAACAGAAACAAAAACCCCTAATTACCTCCTCCCTCAAAACAAAACAAAAAAAAGGTAAAAAAAAAAAAAGAAGTAAGAAAAATACATAAATAAATAAACCTAATTCCCCCCTGCCCCCAAAAAGAATAAAATGAAAAAAAAGAAAACAAACTTATAAATAACAGGGGGAGAGAGGTCTTGGAGGGGGAGGAGAGGGGTTGAAATCGTTGAGACCAAGATGGTCAGGGAAGACTTTCCTGATGAAGTTGCCTATGTGCTTTTTCGTTTGGTGCTTTCTCGTTTGTGTGTTCCTGAGACAACACAGAGCACACGTTCAACTTTTTAAAATCCGTCTTTTTTTCTCACCCAGGAGGAGAAAGAAGAGCTTTTGCAGTATAAAAGCACCATAGCCAGCCTGATGGGAAGAGCCAAAGCGATAATCCAACTAAAGCCAAGGAGTCCTGACTGTCCACTCAAAACTTCTATTCCCATCAGAGCCATCTGTGACTACAGACAGATTGAGGTACTCCAGCTCCAAGAAACAGACCAGTTGCTGGCATTATTCATATATTTGAAAAATGAGGTCATGTTGCTCACCAGTGGTAAAGATTTCCAATTAAAAAAAACACACACACAATAAAAGCAACCCCAAGACTGAGTATGGAAAAGTGGTCAACAGGGACTTCACTGGGTTATTCTGTTCTTGAAAACCAGATCACCATTTTCAAAGACGATGAGTGTGTCTTGGCGAACAACTCCCATCGCGCGAAGTGGAAGGTGATCAGCCCCACTGGCAACGAGGCCATGGTCCCCTCCGTGTGCTTTACCATCCCTCCGCCCAACAAGGACGCGATCGACTTTGCAAACAGGTGTGTGTGTGCACTGGGTCCAGCGCAGCCCCGTGCTGGAGGCTGTCAGCATGAAAGAGACAGTCCGTACCTTTTCATGCCCAGAGGGTCTGAAGGGCCCAGGGCTAGTAAACCTGGGATGTTTCACAAACAGAAAGACAGCACTGCAGCATGTTCTCAGAGGGAGGGAAAAGGCTTCATCTGCGCGTTCCTCCGTGTATTTCAGGATTGAGCAACAGTATCAGAACGTCCTGACCCTGTGGCATGAGTCTCACACCAACATGAAGAGCGTGGTGTCCTGGCGCTATCTCGTCAGTGAAATCGACCGCGTCCGAGCCAGCAACGTGGCCTCAGTAAGGATGAATCTCCCCAGCAGCCCGACCTGTCCGACAGTGTGGGGCCCGGGTCGCTCTGAGGAGTGGGTTTTGTGTTTGCTCGTCAGTGGGAGGAGCCCAGCAGATCCCTGCTGACGGACAGTCCCTCGTTCCGCGGACATCCGTTACCTGCCTGCGGTGTGCGAGGCCTTTTCTAAGAACGGAGGGATCTGTAGATCATGTCTTTCATTCAGGGCTTTCATCTTCCCAGGGAGACAGGGTAGTGCTTGGGCACAGAGAGATGGGTAGCCGTTGATTTCACTGATTAAATTTTATAGCCTTGTTTCTCCTTGTCTTTGAAACCTGAAATCGCTAATGAAAGGAAAAAATGAATTTCCAGTGGTTTTCTGTTGATGCCTGTTACTATAAACTGGCATCTACCGTGAGGCCGACTGGAGATCTGTCCTATTTAAATTTAGCTCTTAGTACCGTAATCACTTACTTACTTGGATCGCTGGTCTGCTTTAGATAAAGACAATGTTACCTGGTGAACACCAGCAAGTCCTGAGTAACCTGCAGTCGCGCTTTGAAGACTTCCTGGAAGACAGCCAGGAGTCCCAGATATTTTCTGGCTCAGATATAACACAGCTGGAAAAGGAGGTCACTGTGTGTAAGCAGTATTATCAGGAACTTCTGAAATCTGCAGAAAGAGGTAAAGCGTGGGAGTTCCTGCCCTTTTCCCCCCATGGGTGTTTGGTCCAAGCTATTTTCTGCTCTCAGTGGGACACTCAGTCTTAGGTATATTTTGTCACTCAGCCTGGGAGAGGTAGGCACCGCTGCTTGGACGTTAAATGCGTGTCTGAGGTAGGGAGATTCAGGAACGGATTCATTTATTTCCGAATGATGAATTAATCAAAAGATTCCACTCAGGTAGTGTGACAAACTATGAAGTCTTGATGAATCTGCTTTTGAACATTTTCACTATTTTGAAATGTCGTGTTCAGAATGATGATCTTTTTTTTAACCTTTATTTTAATTTTATTTGTTTTATTTTTTAACGCCTTTATTGTGGTATGGTTCCTATACAGTAAACTACACGTATTTCAGATGTACAACTTGATGAATTTTGATAGATGTATACAGCCATGAAACCACCACCACAGTCAAGATATAGCTCATATTTCCATCACTCCCCAAGAGGTGCAATTTTTGAATTCCCAATTTATCCCTTCCCACCTGCTTTATCCCCTGGAAACCATAAGTTTGTTGTCTATGTCTGTGAGTCTGTTTCTGTTTTGTAGATAAGTTCATTTGTGTCATTTTTTTTTAGATTCCACAAATGAGTGATATCATATGGCATTCTTCTTTCCCTTTCCAGCTGCCTTCACTTAGAATGACCATCTCAGGTCCACCCATGTTGCTGTAGATGGCATTATTTTAGAATGGTGACCTTTTAGTTTCAGAAAAGGTTCAGTGATTTTTCCCATATACCAAAGTTGGACTTTTTTTAAAAACTTCTTTTTAGAGCAGTTTTAGATTCACAGCAAAATTGAGAGCAAGGTGCAGAGATTTCCCAGAATCAAACCTGGATTTTATACAGGGGTTAAAGGAAGAGATTGTGTCTGGTTAACTTTTGTTAAATAAAAATTTTTATTCCAAACGCCTGATATTGCTTACAGACCAAAAAAAAAAAAAACCCTATGTTAGTAATACTCTATTTAAAAATTATTCATTAACGCAATCCTTTCCTTTCCTTTTAACGGATTTTAATTTAATTTTTACAACTAGTCTGCTATTAATGTAATTCACGTTTTTGTGAACATAAAACACAACAGTACGTTACTTTCCTTAGCCATCACTAATCAGACATTGGTACTGTAAGTGGCATTAGGGAAATTTTATTAACTCTTTGTAAATTGTGATGTCTGCTGGTTTCAAGGTGTGCATCTGTGGGGTGGGTTGTTGATAACCTGGTAATGTTAGTTGGACTTCCTGTGTCCCCATAGTAATCAAAGTGCCGTATTAACACATGAACAGGAGCATCCAAAAGATAGAGACCAAGCTGATTTTTAAATATTACGTTTACTTGCACAGAGGAGCAAGAGGAATCAGTGTACAATCTATACATCTCGGAAGTGCGAAACATCAGACTCCGCCTGGAGACCTGTGAGGACCGTCTCATCAGACAGATCCGCACCCCCCTGGAGAGGGACGACGTGCACGAGAGCGTGTTCAGAATCGCGGAGCAGGAGGTGAGGCTGGGATGCGTGCTGGGACGGAGCCAGCACACGTCACCGTCCTGACGCCCTGTGTTGTCAGCGCCTGTGACTTCTCACGCGCTCCCCTCTGCTCAGGGGTCACTGTGTGAGCCCTGACGATGTGTGTGCTGCTGACTGAGGAGGAGGAGCCTGTGATTCCGTTCGGGAAGCCCAGGGACAGGTCCTTTCTTACCCGTGGAGGCCGTGAAGGCTTTGCACAAAGTCGCTATGTGTTTATCACCTGTGCATTTATCAACGCAAAAGCGCCCATTAGATTTGGGGGAGGGGCCATAAGGGAAATGACTGCCTATCGAACTCCAATCCCATGGCTTTCTTTCTTTGATAAAGTAGAGAATACGTGCCTCTTTAAGTCAATGATCATCACGTGAAATGTGGATTTTCAAAGTGTTTGAAGAAAGAGGCTCCGTCTGGAGTGACAGCAAAGCACCTGAGTTTGTTCCCTGTTTTATAGAAACTGAAGAAAGAACTAGAGCGACTGAAGGACGATCTGGCCACGATCACAAATAAGTGCGAAGAATTTTTCAGCCAGGCGGCGGCCTCTTCCTCAGTTCCCACCTTGCGGTCCGAGCTCAGCGTGGTCGTTCAGAACATGACCCAAGTTTACTCCATGTCCTCCACCTACATAGAGAAGTAGGCGCCCCTGGTCTCAATATACAGAGTATAAATTGGCTTCCTACAGTTGCCATGTTTTATGTGTGTGTGTGTGTGTATATATATATATATGCTGTTTTATCTAAAAATACTCATTTTTAAGAATAGGACTTTTTGTCTTCATAACAAACGTACTAAGTAGTTCTGTGGCTTTATGATGCTTCCTCATGTTGGAAGGGAAGAGATTCAGAGGTTAGGGCATAAGGTAGGATCTTCCCACATTTTGCCTATAATAATGGGCTGAGGCACATGCTGTGCCCGTTAGAAGACAGTGAGCGAGATGTTAGTCTTGTAACAAATGAGAGAAAGAGCATCCTTGATCCTGCGCCCCAGTGGCACCTTGAGACTGCCTTCTAGGGCATCAGGGACAATCGTCTCATTCTCTTTTTCAGGTTGAAAACTGTGAATCTGGTGTTAAAAAACAGTCAGGCTGCAGAAGCCCTTGTAAAACTGTATGAAACAAAGCTGTGTGAAGAGGAAGCAGTTATAGCGGACAAGAACAATATTGAGAATCTAATAAGTACTTTAAAGGTAGGAGTCTTATGGCTGGCTGTTTTTCCAGATTATCCTCTGAAAAAGTGTTTCTCTGGCACTCAAGTGGGGTCTTTGACATCAGGCATGAAACATCTCAACTTGAGTGCACTGCTGGTCTTTCCATCTCGTATCCCTATAAATACCTTGGCTTCCTGTGAATCAGAATGTGCCGTCATTTTTAGCTTTAGGGGAGTTCTTCTCATTTCAGGTGTAACTCTTTTCCATAGTAGGTTTTTACCGTCAGTTCGTGTTGGCAGCAAGAGGAGTTGATGCTGAAAAGTAAATTATTTGTAAGAGGTTCTCTTGCTGAAAGAGGCAGGTGTTTTAAGAAATTGAGGAGGTACACAGAGGACTGGATCTAAGCGGGGAAAAGACTGGCAGTCCTGCTTGTCTGTTTCTGTTCTTCTGTTTGTAAAGCACTGAGTAAAGCTCTTGCAAAATAATCATGAAAAGTTGTCTCAGTGATTTTTAAGACATGCATTCATTTTTAAACAAGATTAGCAGATATTTAAGAAATAAACAATGAAAAAGACTTACTGAGGTAGCTGACTTATGGAATATATTATATTTGATTGATCTGCACATTCCATGAAGCCGAACTTTATAAAATTGATTTTTTTCTTTCTACATCAAAATACAGTCAAATAAGGGGGAGGGTATAGCTCAGTGGTAGAGCGCATGCTTAGCACGCATGAGGTCCTGGGTTCAACCCCCAGCACCTCCATTAAAAATAAATAAATAAGCCAAATTACCTCCCCCTGGAAAGTAAAGCAAACCAAAAAAAAAAATCTTTTTAAAAAGTAGAGTCAAACATTGGCAATTTTATAACATTTAACCTAATGTAATATTTGTGTATGTGAAATACATTCTTTCCATTGTCTGATTTTGTATCAGCCATCTGTATATGGACTGTAAAATTCAGGTGAACAATGTGTTTACCCGATGAGTGGTTGATACATTTTTGACTTTCACCAATCTTAGCAATGGCGATCTGAGGTTGATGAAAAGAGAGAGGTCTTCCACGCGCTGGAGGACGAGCTGCAGAGAGCCAAGACCATCAGCGATGAGATGTTCAAAACCTACAAAGAGCGTGACCTTGACTTTGACTGGCACAAGGAGAAAGCGGATCAGCTGGTTGAGAGGTGGCAGAATGTCCAGGTTCAGATTGACAACCGGTTAGTACGCTTTCCGTTCAGTTTTAGCCCCGACTTCATCTCTCTCTGTGCATTCTAGGTACAGTCTGCACGTAGTAGGCTCTTTACTGCCATCTGTAATTAATTCCAGAGAGTTAATTCCCGTATAAAGATATATAGTTAATTGTGTAAGAGCTCTGCCTAATTATATTTCTTTTTTTATATGTTAGCAAGACATTTAACTCCCAAATTATGAGACATTGAACATAGTTCCCTGTGCTATACAGAAGAAACTTTTTTTTTAATCTTTTATGTATAGTGGCGAACATTTGTAAATCTCAAACTCCCAGATTTATCCCTTCCCACCCCCTTTCCCCAGTTACCACAAGATTGTTGACTGTCTGCGAGTCTGTTGACCTTGAATTCTTGACACCCAGCCCTGCCGATAGCTCACTGCATCCTGGTACAGTGACTTTGTCTCACCCCCGTCCACCCTCCTTAATGGTGCCTGTTGGAAAGCGTGACTGTTGTCCTGTTCATCTCTCAGGTTACGGGACTTAGAAGGCATTGGCAAGTCGCTGAAGTACTACAGAGACACCTATCACCCGTTGGATGATTGGATCCAGCAGGTGGAAACGACTCAGAGAAAGATTCAGGAAAATCAGCCTGAGAATAGTAAAACCCTTGCCACACAGTTGAATCAACAGAAGGTGCGTAAAAACAGTTCCGTGTCCTGAGGTTGTGTCTGCGTCTGGTCACTCGTGACCCTTGCCTTCCTTTCTCTTGATGAAAAGAGAAGTCAGCCACGATTTCGAGGAAGGCAGGAAGTAAGCCATTAATATTAAAATCCTGCACTGAAACTGACAGGCATTACCTACTTTGATTTCTTGGCAGTCATTTTTGAAGCATAAGGAAGAGAACGTAGCCTGTTGAGGCAGTTCTCAAATCTCTGATAATCATGTAACCGTAGGCGTGGCCATCTCTCTGGTACTTTCCTGGCCGCAGTAGTTTTACGGGCTCCTCAGTAAGTAAAAATAGCTGTCGAAAATTAAACGGCCACCTTGACAAAGAGTTAAACGCGTTGAGGTGTTTGCTCCATCTCTAGGGGCTGGTTCTTCCTAGCTCTCTTTTGATTAGGAAGAGGTGAGAGTCAAGGGTTTCAAGTCTACTTTTGGATAATTCCTGGAGTTCAGTAACTTCTGCTTTGGAAGCCCCAGAGGGTGTGTCCCTTAGTGGCTTAATCTTGCAAGTTTGTGCTTTATCCGTAAGACAAATGACATTTCAGCACAAAGGGCTGTGATTTAATGTAATGTAGATATTTCTTAGTGCCCGAGATGTTAAGTTGTGGGATAGCATAGAATTCCTGGTCATTTCTCATCTAAACTGTGCCTTTATAGATGCTGGTGTCAGAAATAGAAATGAAACAGAGCAAAATGGACGAGTGCCAGAAATACGCAGAACAATACTCCACTGCGGTCAAGGTGAGAAGGCCAGTTCCTTGCGTCAGGTTTTTTTCAATTTTTTTTAAGTAACCTTTTTAAAAGTTTTTTTTGGGGGGGTAATAGTTTTGTTTATTTATGTACGTATTTATGTAGTGGAGGTACTCCAGATTGAACCCAGGACCTCCTACATGCAGAGCGCGTGCTCTACCACTTAACTATACCCTCCTCGACCTTGTGTCAAATTTAATGTTCAGGGATGTGTTTCTCCAGTGCACTTTTAAAGCCTTTGCAAATCGTTTGGTCTGGGTTAAGAGTAAAACAGAGAATCTTCACTTGAACCTCTTTTCACTTGTCTAATAATTCTTTGTGAAATGTGAGTCACCCGATGACCCCTGGTCCTTTCAGAGGCGAAACAGAATGAGCTCATTGTCCCTGGATTTTTCCATGAGCTTCTAAAGAGATTTCAGAGCTCTCCTGACCACCCTAAATGTTTGATTTTGTTTGTTTGTTTTTGTTGTTTTCTGGGGTGGTGATTAGGTTTCTTTCATGTATTTTTAAATTAATTTTTAATTTAATTTAATTTTTAGTGGAGGTACTATGGATTGAACCCAGGACCCTGTGTGTGCTAAGCACGCACTCTTACCGCTGAGCTATATACCCTCTCCCCTAAATGTTTGATTTTTATTACCACTTTGGAAGCATCTCAGGTTGTACTGATTCTTGAAAATGTAGTCTTGCAACTTTATGTCAAGTTATTCAGTGAAACAAGACTCCATTTCTCCGCGTCTGATCACGGTAAGATGAAGTGTTAGTGCTTCGCTTTAATTCCTCTAACCTTCCTGACTCCTTTATACAGGACTACGAATTACAAACAATGACCTACCGGGCCATGGTGGATTCACAACAGAAGTCTCCCGTGAAACGGCGAAGGATGCAGAGCTCGGCGGATCTCGTCATTCAAGAGGTGAGGGGAGGACGGGAGACGGAGGAGGCCACAAAACAGAGCAGCAACACTCTAGCAATTTTGTATTTGTACATTTGCATTGTGATAAAAAATGCGTAACAGGAAATTTACCATTTTAATCATCCTTAAGTATGCAATTCAGTGACGTTCAGTGCATTCATAATATTAAGCAACCTTGACCTCTCTCCTTCCCAATTTCATCTTCCCATTTAAAAGCTCGCTACCTGTAACAATATATTTTATTAAGGGTTCTAAAGAACGCTTTGAGAATCTGCATTCAAGATTAATTCGTGGCAGAGAATAGTAAGTGTAGGTCATGATTAAATTTAGGAGAAGATTGTCAGTCAGTGTGGTCTGCACAACACTCATCTCATTCCTACCCAGCTGTCGCTGCTGGGAGGCTGTGTCCCTCCCTGTCTCAAAGCCTAGCTGGCATTTTAATTATTACTCAACGCTCATTCAACTCGTTTAGGGCAACTGGAGATGATGTTTTTATTTTTTTTCTTCCATGCAGTTCATGGACCTGAGGACCCGGTATACCGCTCTGGTCACCCTTATGACACAATATATTAAATTTGCTGGTGACTCGTTGAAGAGGCTGGAAGAGGAGGAGGTAACCATTAACTAGGACAGCTCCCTGAACGGGCACCACGAAATGGGCTGGGAAAACAAGAAAATTTCATGATAACATCACATGGTTGATAGCTGACATATAAGGGATTATTTAATGATACAATTACAGTGAAAAAGAATAGAGGCCTAGGATTTTTTGTTTGTTATTAAGATGTTTTCAAATTGAAAAACATATATTTTCACTCCAGGACTCTGAGATAATAGGGCTGATGTCTTAAATGGCTCTGTGTACATTATGAAATGCTGGTAGTTTGGCAGAATTTGCAGATATCGCACAATTGAGAAGTATACTTTTTTGAAGTCTAGTTAGTGCTGTTATGATGTCTGCAGAAATGCTACATAAACACATTTGTTTTGTGCTTTAAAAAAAATTTTTTTTAACTGAAGTACAGTCAGTTACAACGTGTCAGTTTCTGGCGTACAGCACAATGTCCCAGTCATCCATATACATTCATACATTCATATTCATATTCTTATGTGCTTTTCTTAATGTTAAAAAATTTTTCCTGGGAGGAGGTAATTAGATTTATTTATTTATTCAATGGAGGTACGGCGGATTGAACCCAGGACCCTGTGCATGCCAAGCATGTTCTCTACCACCAGAGCTCTACCCTCCCTCCCTGTTTTGTGCATTTAAAATTTACATCTTCAAGTATTTAAAACATAAAAGCCATGAAGTTAAAAGCAGGTGTTTATACAAAACAGTTAATACTCTTTAAGAACTATGAGGTTTTTTGTTTTGTTTTTGTTTTAATTTTTGCCAAAAAGGTATTATGGTGTATGTTAAAAAAGACTGTTTAAATGCCATTTTAATTTGGAGGACTTCAGTACCTTTGATTATGCATTTAAAAAAATAGATATATATATTCAGAAATAGAAGGAGTCCTTTAAGAAATATATTTTCATAAAAGTCCATTTTATCTAATTTTGAAGCTATTATGCTGTCCATGCATGTCTTGATATGCTTTCTATTCCTAACCTCAGAGCAGACAAAAATGGTAAACTGAGTGCTCCAGTCAGTAAACTGTGGGGCATTTGCCATTTCGATTAGACTGTGGTTGGAATCCTGAAGACAATTGCACTTAGTGTAACTCCTTTCATATAATGAGAGAACCAGAATGGTAGTGAATATCTGATAGATATTACTTCTCAGTTTCTAAAAGTGTGACTGCTTTTGTAAACTATTTTTGTCTGTTCAGAGTTAACAGTTTTCTGCCACTAAAACACTAACATAGCTACTTGCCAAGTCTTTATAACTAGCTTCCTTTGGGCTTAGAAGGGAGAACCAGAATATTTTGAGTGTCCGAATAATTAGCCTACACTCTCATCTATGGAAAAAAGTCCATAATTCTTTTTTACATTTTTTAGTGTTTAAGAGCTGTGACTCCATTTTAAGTGGTATGCAGATCTTTTAAATTGTCTATTTAGTACTTAAACATAAAATAAAATGATTTAAGACCTCTGCTTTCTTATAATGTATATCTGATTGCACATATATGGGCACTTTCTCAGTTTATCTGATGTGGTAGAATACTAGAAGTTGATAGACCCAAAAGAGATAGTCACAAAGCCTAAAATACATCCAAATTATGCTTGTCATCCTTTGAAATGTGAACAATTATATTGCCTTGAAAGTGAAAAGAACATAGTTTATGGAAGACCACACTGAGGCGGTTACCACTTAAAATTTAAAAAATTCTTTATTAAAAATTCACTACTTAAGGATCTTAATATGGAATATCTTATAAAAGAGTCATAGCTCAGTTTTCAGACTCCAAACAGTAGTGTTTTTGAAATGGGTCCATGGAGACTCATGTGAGAAATCTTGGCCAGAGAGTAGAATTTTCCATAATAAACATTAGGGAGTCAAGTTAGTCAAGTTAATTTCAAAGATAATACTCAATTAGTCACAGACATGTTAATAGGGTATCTGTAATGGATATTAGATGGATAAAAAGATTTTTCTAGTCTGTGTGGACAGCAAAATTTATTAAATGTTAATTGCTGAGTTTAGAGATGAACATGTCTCCTTGGAGAACATTTAGATAAAACCTGAAGCCACTTTTATGTGAATAAGTTTGAGATCTACAATAAAGCAAATCAGCAACAGGACTAAATTATTTCTAGTAACTTTTGTAGTATTTGTTAAAAAATTTCAGAGTTATCTAGGCAACGTGAGATTATGAACAGTCTGTAAAATAACTCAGACACTGAGATTTCAACAACAAACATTTTTTTCCTGAGAGAATTTTCATTCTTTTAAACCTCAGATCATGACTAAGAAAAAAATGAAGAGGCTCAAACGTCTTAGCAGCAGCTAAGTTTTAAAAGAAATTTGATGAAGAATTGAGGAAAACCTTTTTAGAAGTCATCCACTCAAAATACACTGAACATTTAATGTCCAAGCAGACAAAATGCTTCGGTGTCACTCTAGAGTGACCCTGATAAGAAAACAAAGAAAACGGAGCATTGAATACTGCAGACTGTGATGAGATTTCTTTTTACACGAAATTCCCATTCAAAGTCATATTAACAGAGGAAACAGCTGAAATTCTTATCCAGATTCTTGGGGGTCAAGAAATTAGAGGAAGCAAAATAAGATGCAATGGAGTATCATACAAATTAAATTCTTGAGATTTGCCAACGCTTTGCAATGAAAAAAAAATCTGTTTAGAATAACTTCTCTATTTCGATTTAAATTATTCTAATTATGATGATTGTGAGTTGATGATATGACACTAATAACCTTACAGTATTAATAAAGAGGAATTACTACTACCAGTGATTATAAAGTAGCCCTGAGTACATTGTTCTGTAGTCCCTGCAGTGGATCCCTCCCAGCTGAGTCTGATTCTGTAATCAATAGATAGAGTGATCACATTTTCTTAGCTGGCACTAAATCGCTGAGCATCTGTATTTAACAAATATCTTAGTTTATGGAGTATCTAAAGGTACTTATTAAGGTGGATTCATAGGAGGCATGTCATTAACAGCAACAACGAAATCTGTGAGTATATGAAGCACATCTTTTCTAAACCCACCAGCGACTAAAGCTGCCTTTGCATTAGCAATTCTGATGAGTATAGTTGTCATAATATGGCAAATAGTAAGGAATGTGTTGAAACTACCAATTTTTATATAATTTTCCTCCTTCCTCGTGTTAAGTATCATTTCCTGATTCGGCTCTCTGTTCCAAAGTTCTGTATTTTGTTTCTTCAATCCTAAGACCGAAGGTTGAAAACATCATTTTTAATTTCCATTGGGGTAGACCCTGAAAACTAAATTGTCTTAATGTCATTCAGTTCCTATACGTTGAATGTTCTTCTTAGCTTGTAGGACTAAGCTGTGTGTGAGGGCAGAAAGAGCACTGTTGTGAGAGGTTTTTGGTTTCTGTTTTTTCAGTTTTATTAGGTTGAATTGTTACAGTTTGACTGCACGTATACAATATGTTGCATGTAAATACATATACACAACATACTGTACATATTTTAAAAATTTACATATATGTACTGTTTATTCTTTCTAAGAACATTTAGAGCTTTAGCTTTTTAAACTTGCATAGTTACAAAGGAATAAAGCCAACTACAAAGTAAGAGTTAATTCCAAAAGATACATACACCTTGCTCTTAACAGCATCATTATTTGTAATTGTCAAGATATGGACGCATCCTAAGTGCACATCACTAGATGAATGGATAAAGAAGATGCAGCATGTATATACGGTTGTGAGAGTTTTGGTTCCTCCTTTGTCAAAATTATCTAACTCCTTGGACCTCAGTTTCCTCATGCTATAAGGTTCTTTCTTGCTGTGAAGTCCTGAGCTAGCTAATTTTTAAAACAAAATTCTTCTTAAGAGACAGAAAAAGAAGAAGAAAAAAAAAAGACTCCTCGGTTTAGAAAAACCTGCCAGGAAGGTTGTTTTTTTTTTTTTTTTTTTTTTTTTGTCTTCTCCCATAGCTGGCTTTCTGAAGCTGCTTCTCTGAAGACGGTGGTGGTGGTGATGGTGGTGGTGCCTGCTCTGCCTTGGGTTTCGCTGGTTTTTAGCAGCGCTTTTAGGAGCCTTGCGTTGGCTGTCTGAAGATGCTGGATTGGAACCGAAGGGCTTTGACGCTTCTGAACGTCTCTTGTAGATGAAAAGGGGTCAGGAGACTTCTGAGCACGGGGCGTACTCAGATCTGCTCGAGCGCCAGAAGGCGACGGTGCAGGAGAACTGCAGGCTCACGGGCAAGATCCGCGAGCTGGAGAGCATGGTGGCCGACCTGGAGAAGCAGAAGTCCCGCGTGGAGGAGGAGCTGCCCAGGGTCCGGGAGGCGGCGGAGCACGAGCTGAGGAAGCAGCAGCGGAACGCGGCGGACATCACTCTGCAGAAGATGCGCGCGGAGAGCGAGGCCCAGCGGTACCGGCGCGAGCTGGAGGCCAGCGTGGAGGAGAGGGAGGCGGCGCGGCGCGAGCTGGAGCGTGTGCGGCGGCTCACGGCCGAGGCCGAGGCCCGGCGGGCGGCCGTGGAGGAGAACCTGCAGCGCTTCCGGAGCCAGCTGGAGGAGCACAGCCTCACCAGGAGGACCCTGGAAGATCACCTGAAGAGAAAAGACTCCAGCCTCCACGACCTGGAGCATCAGCAAAAGAAGCTGACGGAGGAGCTGAGGAGGAAGAGAGACAAGGAGGAGGAGCTCCTGAAGCTGATCCAGCAGATGGAGCGGGACCTCACGTTTCAGAGACACGTGGCGGAGGAACAGCTGAAAGAAAAGCAGAAGATCGAATCGGAAGCCCGGAGGCGAATAGCCGAGATGCAGTATTCGTGCGCAGACAGCGCCTCCTCGCTGGCTTGTGCGCCCGCGCAGGCGGGGGACCTGCAGCAGCAGGTGGAGGAGCTGACGGCCGCCAACAGGAAGGCGGAGAAGGACGTGCGGGAGCTGCAGTATGAACTCGGCTCCCTGCAGCTGGAGAAAGCGTCCTCGGAGGAAAAGGCCCGCCTGCTCC